CGAGGTTTGAATTTGTTCTTCAGTTCCTTGAGCTTAAGAAATGCTGAGTAAGTTCAGCCCTTTTGATTTTCTGACTGCAACTCCTTGCACATTGCATTGAAATATTTTACTTTGTCATCCGTTCTGCCTTTCAAAATCTTCTATTCAACTCTTTAGTATCTTGAATTCTTCCTTCTGCTTTGGCTTCTCTGCACTCCAGTGCAATTTCCAGATAAACAAGGTAATTTGTAAAAACTAGACCATATCCACAAGTCATTCTAAATCAAACTCTTTGTGCCGAGAGGCAAAAATAATAGACAAAACACCAAAACTAACATTATCTGATGGCATCACTCAGAAAATGACCAGGCACTGAAATACACAAAGTATGTAAGGTGTCCATAATGCAGGCCATGGTCTTTGCAATTACATGCTATGCATCAGAAAGCTAAACAATGACTAGAGATAATAAAAGAGCTGATGCCTTTGAGCTGTGGTGTTGGAGCAGAGTATTGAATACACCTTGTACTGCTTGGAGAACAAATAGGGTTGTCCTTGATAGGGTGCGACCAGGTTGCTCCTTGGATGCAAGGATTCTGAAGCTTTGTCTAACATACTCTGGACATATTGCAAGGTGGCACCAGTCCTTGCAGAGGGACATCATGCTTGGGAGGGTGGAGGGACAGCACAAGAGAGGAAGATCCTCAATGAGATGGATTGATTCAGTGACTGGGGTAATAGGGGTAGGTGTGTCAGAGACAGTAAGATTGGCACAGGATAGAGCAGGGCTGAGGGCTGTTGTATGTAGGGTCACTATGAGTCGCAGGCAACTTGACAACACATAACAACAACAAAAACATTAAATATGCCACACTAAAAACTAGGTAGCCTTCCTCACTTTGGTGGAGGATTCTGATTTCATTTCTTCAAAGACAGACTGGTTTCGTCTTTCATGAATGCATAGTGTACGCCCTCTATTTGCTGGCACCATGGTTTGAAGTCTTTGCCTCTTCTTCAGTGCTCATCTTCTTTATTCACTTCACTTCACTCTCCAAGTGTCACATCCTTTGCTTCAGATTCATTCAGTATGTTTGACGTCTAGACTTTTGCTTCTACAGATTTTTGTTATGGATCCAGATGGAACAAGATTCTTGACAAGTTCAATTTGTGAGAAGATAATTCACTATCCTTGCCTCTGAGAAGCATCATCCAAGACAGATTTGGTGGTTGGTTGGTTGGTTTTGTGTTTTTTTTTTTTATTTCCTCCAAGACAGATTTGTTCTTGCGGCAGTCTGTGTTACATTCAGTATACTTCTTTTTCCTTTAAATCTATTTTTATTCCTTCCCCCACACACACCTCTTTTCTTGTAGTGTACCACTGAATTGGATCTGAATGGCACAGGAGAGACTGCCCCTCCTTTTCCAGTGAAGCATCTGGTGGATTCGAACCACGTGCCTTCAGAATTGCAGCGCAGCTTCTTGCCACTAGGCCACCTGAGCTCCCTTATATTCAGTATTCTTTTCCAACATTACAGTTTGTAATTTGCTGGACAACTCTCAGATATATTTAAAGCAAGTGAAAATATCATTGCTTAAATCAGGTTCCCCTTAGTCTTTAAAGTGGCATCTGTGTTCTTTAGCACTTTAATGAAGTTCTTGACACAAGATTTCCCCAATACAACATGTTTGTTTGTTTTTTGTTTTGTTTTAAAAAATATGGAACGCTTCACGAATTTGCGTGTCATCCTTGCACAGGGGCCATGCTAATCTTCTCTGTATCGTTCCAATTTTAGTATATGTGCTGCCGAAGCGAGCACCAACATGTTTTTTGATTTCTTGACTGCTGCTACTACGGATGTTGTATATGGATCAAGATAAAAAGAAATCTTTGACAACTTCAATCTTTTCTTCATCGAAGACAGGCTAAGGTGCAGGTCTAGCCATCTACAATTGAAATAACAAGCCTTCAAAAACCTTATAATTAACAGTCTAAGGGGACATCAAATCAATTGGCATTGTTGTTGCTATTGTTAGGTGCCATCAAGATGATCAAGATTCACAGCAACTCTTATGAACAAAAGAACTGAATCTAGTCCTGTCCTGCACCATCCTCACACAACCTGACACACAAGAGCCCATTGCAGCAGTCATCATATCAATCCGCATGGCTGAGGGTCTTCCTCACCTTCATTAACTCTTCACCCTTCCCAATACCATGTCCTTATCCAAGAAATAGCACCTCCTAGCAACATGTCCAAAGTACAAGAGGCAAAGCCTCATTAATTTTGCCCCCAAAGAGCACTCCGGCTGCACCATCCCCAAGATAAACCTGTTTCTTCTCTTGGCTGTCCATGTGATGTTCTCCAATATCATAGTTCAAAGGCATCAATTCTTTTTCTGTCATCCCTATTCATTGTCCAAGTCTCAGATGCATAACTAGTAATTCGAAAGACTATCAGATTTGTTTTCAAACTGACATCACAACTACTCAATAATTTGGAAAGGTTACAACTGAAGATTTTCCCAGTGCAGTGAGTCTCCTTATTTCCTGACTGCTTGAACCAAGGGTGCTAATTGTGGATCCAAGCAAGATGAAGCTGTTGACAATTTCAATCTCTCCATCCATGACACTGCTTACTGATCCAGTGGTAAGAATATTTGTTTTCTTGATATTGAGAAGCAATCCACAATGAAGCCTGCATTCCTTGATCTTCTGCAACAAATGTTTCAAGCCCTCCTTACTTTCAGCAAGCAAAGTTGTATCATCTGCATAATGCAGGCTATTGATGAGCCTCCCTCCAATCCTGATGCCATACTCCTCTTCATAGAGTCCAGCTTCTTGGATAATTTGCTCAGCATATATATTGAACAGGTATGGAGAGAGAATACAACCCTGACACACTCCCTTCATTCCAATTCCAGACCACACAGTGTTCCCCTGCTCCACTGGCACAACAGCCTCCTGATCCAGATATAGGTTCCGCATGAGCACGATCAAGTGTTCTGGGATTCCCCTTCTTCTCAATGTCAGCAACAACTTGTCATGATCCACACAGTCAAATGCCTTTGCACAGTCAATAAAGTACAGATATTCTTCTGGTATCCCTTACTTTCAGCCAGGATCCATCTGACATCAGCAATGATATCCCTGCTAGAAGTTCTGTCAGTTCTTTATGTACTGTTCCAGCTTTTTTTGAATGCTCTTCAGCAGTATTTTGCTTGTATGTGATATCAATGATATTGTTCAATAGTTTTCACATTCAGTTGGATCACCTTTCTTGGGGACGGGAACAAATATGGGCCTCTTCCAATCTTTTGATCAGACAGCCGTCCTCTAAACTGGTATTTACATAGCCTGTAAAGTTCTATATCCTACTTTCGTGAATTGGGACTAAGGTCTTAAAAGTTTGCAAGTATCTATAACTAAGGTATAACTATTAGTCTTTCCCTAACTGGCACAAAAAAGACTGATGATAATCAAAGACGATTAGGTTTAAGGATTGATGGACCACATGAACTTCAGTATCCACAATCCTGAGACCAAAAGAAACAGATAGTGCTTAGATACCACTGCCAACAACACTAACAGCACTTATAATAAATGAGTTGGGGGAAACGTAGAAGAAAACTCAAAATCAGTTTACAAAAAAAAAATCCATGTTTGCCAGTGAAGAAAGCCATGCTAGATACTAGTGAAACCACTATATTTATGGCCCTTATTGTTGTTGGGCACTGTTGAGTTGGAACCAACTCACGGCTGACCCTCCGGTGGGTTGTCAAAGGCAGTTAATCACATGATAAGAGACTGCCCATCTTTCTTCCACAAAGCAGCTGGTGGATTTGAACCAAATGCCTTTGAAATTACAGCCTGGTTTCTTACCACCAGGCCACCAGAGCTCCTTATGGCCCTTAGTGACCCTTTAAGCCTGGAACTGAAATAAATTCTGGGCCTCTACTTCAAATCAAATAATATATTGGCCTTTGAGATGATCAATAATCATGAAAGAGGGAAGCATTTCTTAGACAAATCAACCATATAAGATTTAAAATGCAGTATTTACCCAGGGATAAAGCACAGAAGGGATGAGAAAGAAGAGCAAATGGAAGTATTAAACAGAGGAAGGCAACAGGAAGAATGCTGTTATAATATATTCAATGTCACAAAACATTTTGTGTATAAATAACTGAAAAGAAAAACAATTTGTTATGTAAACTTTCACCGAAATCTCAATAAAGTTTCCTCCCCTAAAAAAAACCCCATGGGGCCATTCTATTCCATCTATAACACTGCTATGAGTCACAATTGACATAACAGCCAACAGTTTCTTTTATTATTATTTCTTCCATTATCATCAAATATTAAATGAAGTTTTAAAATTACTGAATTAAAATCAAGTATACAATATACAACAAAGGAGTTAATCAGCACAATCTCACTAAAGGAAAAAAATAAATGAAGATATGAACAAGATAAAAGATCACAAAGCTAAACACTAAGAAACACTAAGCTATACAAAGCTGCACACAAAGAAAACATAAAAACAATCCATATGGAAGCAAAATGACAACAACTGGAAAGATGAAATAGGAACATTGCTGTTGTTATGTGCCACTGAGTCTAATACAACTCATAGCTGCCCTATGAACAATGACTCTGAAACCTGCCCATCTAGGTATTCCTAGAGCAAGACCCATCTAGGGTCCTCCTCTCCTGAACTGACCTTCTACCCTTCCAAGCATGATATATACCTTTAAGGAATGGTCCTTAGGAAGCAATAAGTTTATGTAATAAAGGAGGAATCACTCAGAAAAGGAGGGTGAGAAAGATTGAAGAAGGTAGTCAGTGTCACTAAATTATATACGTAAAACTGAATTGGTGTGTTTTGCTGTACACACAAAAATAAAATTAAGGCTTAAAAGGGGGGAAATACCAATCAATATAACTAGAGAAGAATGCTAGAACCTCAGCATTCCCTTCTCCTCATCAAAATTGATGAATGTGCACAACAGAGTTAACTTACTTCTTCAGCAGACATGTGAAATCTCAAAGCATTTGGCAAGACACTGCCATATTCCCACCTGAGAGCTCTGATCCGAAGTAACCGGTCATACCTAGGATAGTATGAGAGTGTTAGATAGTTTTAACAAGTAATAATCAGAACTTGTTCTATCAGGAAAGATTCACATCAACCAAAAAGTCGTGTGTAAATTTTATGTAGATTGTAATCCAAGTAAGAAAATATCCTTGGGGCAAGCAGAAAATATGAATATAGAGTGGACCGACAGGAGGTAGGCATTGTTCATTGTGTGAAGTATGGAAGTATGTTAAGTAGGACAGGGGCACACTGGTTATTTAGGAAAAAGTCAGAAAGGGCCTTATCTCTGAGAGATACATTAAGAAAGTATTGTGGTGAGATGTTGAATGATGCTTGGTCTTTCCTTCTAAATAATCTAGCATAATAAATCATGAAAAAATACAGCAAAATATAAGAGTCTAAGAGGTTCACTTTACTATTCTTTCTGCTTTTGTGAATGTTGCACTTTTCAAAATAAAATATTTTAAAACTAAGAAAGAGACAATCTAGAATGTTTAAAAAAGAGAGCAATTATATGATCTCTTGCTACCAACTTGAAACTTAGCTTGGAAATCACATAGAAAACACTCTTCTGTTTTTTTATTGTTGTTGTTAAGTGCCTTGAGTCGAGTACGACTCATAGCTCTTCTGTTTACTGTTACTATAATAAAAAATTAAGCAGCTTACAGGTATGCTACAGTGCAGCGTCGATTTCTTAGCAAAGAACAGTGTCGAAATTTGATAGTTGGTATCAAATTGCTTCTTCCATCCAACTTCATTTCATTCCTAGTAAGACCATTGAAATAGGAAAAGGATATATTTCAGAGCAAGAAAATTTATATCATCTATTTAAAATCAAATGTTTTCCCCAATATTTTTCAGTCAACTAACACGATTTACCTACTTCTGTTTAATGGTTAAACTAAACAAAGTGCACCTCCTTCCATTTCCAAAGTTAACAAACTCCCCCAAGATGATAGTGTTTGGTACTGTGGGTTTTTGCATGCCAATTGATCTCTATTAACTTCCAAAAGACAAGTTAATCATCTTTAATCACTTCTTTCTAAAAAAAAATCTGATTTATTTACAAAGTTTGAATACATTGTTTTTCACAAAAGATCCTTCCCATTTCCCACCCACCCATCAAACTGTGCACCCTATGATTAACACTACCATCCCACTCAACCACACTCCTCTATTTCCACCCTCTCCCCAACCTTAGATCCTCATACTCACTCTACAATCATGGTTCTATACAGTATTTGTCCTTGTGTTAGTTCACTCAGCATAATACTCTCCAGTCCCTTCCAATTAGGTAGTAATTTATAAAATGATTGCTCCTGTGTGCTGAGTAGTATTCCATTGTATGGAAGTACCACAGTTTCTCAATCCATTCATTTGTGGTTGGACATCTGGGCTATTCCCATGTTATTGCGATAGTGACTAACACTACTCTTCTGAAATTCCACTGCGATAGTGACTAACACTACTCTTCTGAAATTCCATTATGTTGAAATAAGAGACAAGTATAACACAATGGGGAACAAATAACTGACTGGAAGAGATCTATATTTGTTCCCATCCCAAAGAAGGGTGACCCCACAGAGTGTGGAAACTATAGAACAATCTCATTGATTTCACATGCAAGCAAGATTCTACTGAAGATTATCCAAAAATGACTGAAACAGCACATCAGCAGAGAACTGCCAGAAGTCCAGGCTGGGTTTAGAAGAGGTTGTGGTACAAGGGATATTGTAGCTAATGTTAGATAGATCTTAGCTGAAAGCAGGAAATACCAGAGGAATGTATATCTGTGTTTTTTTGATTATGCAAAGGCGTTTGACTGTATGGATCATAACAAATTGTGGCTGACTCTGAGAAGAATGGGAATCCCAGAAAACTTGATCGTGCTAATACGAAACCTATACTTGGACCAAGAGGCAGTCGTCAGAACAGAGCAAGGAAACACTGCATGGTTCAATATTGGGAAGAGTGTATGCCAGGGATGTGTATTGTCTCCATACCTTTTCAACCTGTATGCAAAACAGATTATCCAGGAGGCTGGGTTCTATGAGGAGAAATGTGGGGTCAGGATTGGTGGAAGATTCATCAACAATCTGCATTATACAGATGATACAACCCTGCTTGCTGAAACTGAGGAGGACCTGAAGCGCTTGCTGCAGAGGGTCAAGGACTGCAGCCTCCAATATGGATTG